ATCCTGTCTCAAAGCTCAGAGATCTGGGGAACTTCCTTGGTAGAAAGTAAGGCCAGGAAAGCTTTTGAAGTCCCTTGGCAGTGTCAATTTGGCTTTCCTAATACCACCTCTGCATGCAGAAGAAGTATTCCTATATTCCACTTCAGTAGACTGTCCTTGCTTTCATTCAGATTTTGCATTCATTCACAAGTTCTATGTTTACCAAGTTGGTCTCCCAACACATTTACTTACTCCTCTAATTACTGGGACAGACTGTTCTTGTGCTTGGAGGAAGTCTGTAACAAACTGCCAGCTCTTTTGAGCTTCTTTGTCCTTCAGAGCTAACTCTAACAGAATCTCACTTCACTTGAATAACCCAAAGTCATTCTCTTGAAGGGGCTGCAGCCTGACATTTATCTTTCTGCCCCTCAAAAACACAATTTCAGTTGTTACACCCAACATGACCATTATAAAGTCCCCAAACATTCCTCTCTTGGTCATGAGTACCAGATACAGTTGGGTGTTCAGCTAAATTAGATGGCCTGTCTAGCAAGGGTAGTAAGAATTTGTCCTTAACATGCTTTAGAAAACACCTGGCTTTCTTGTGCCCACTGTCTTGCAAATTCAACTGATAATGCAGCTTGCACTAGCAATCATGAACTCCAAAGAGTCCTGCCTGATCTATGGAAGTATTCCACCATATGCTGAAGACGGACATTTATGTACAGATAGGTATTCTGTATTTATAAGAGAAAGATCCTGTGTGGTGTTGTCAACATGCTGGAGGGAAGAGATACCATCCAGAAGGACCTGGACAGGGTGGAGAGGTGGGACTTAAAAACTTCTACAAGGCCAAATGCAACTCCTGCATGTGTGTCAGGGCAATCCCAAATGCAAACACAGGCTGAGGGGAGAATGGATTGAGGAAAGGCATGGGGAGAAGGTTTTGTGGGTGCAGGTGGATAAGAAGCTCAACATGCCCTGGCCATGGGCACTGGCACACAGTACACCCCCCCACCTCTGTGCTGGGCTGATTCCCCCAGCATGGGCAGCAGGGGAGGGGAGGATTCTGCCCCTCTGCCCCACTCAGGTGAGATCTCACATGCAGAGTTGCCTCCAGCCCTGGGGAGCAACATCAGGAGGACATGGAGCTGCTGGAGCCAGTCCAGAGGAGGCCATGGAGCAGGCTGGGAGAGCTGGGGGTGCTCACCTGGAGAAGAAAAGGCTCTGGAGAGACCTCAGAGCCCCTTCCAGTGCCGAAAGGGGCTCCAAGAGAGCTGGAGAGGGACTTTGAAAAGGAATCTAGAATGACAGGACAAGTGGGAATGACTTCCCACTGCCAGAGGGCTAGATTAGGTGGGATACTGGGGAGAAATTATTGGCTAGTAGAAATTCCTGGCACAGGTTGCCCAAAGATGTGGCTGGCCCACCCCTGAGTGTTCAAGTCCAAGTTGGATGTGGCTTGGTGCAACCTGGTCTAGAGGAAGGTGTCCCTGTCTACAGCAAGGAGGGGAATGAGATGGGCTTTAAGGTTCCTTGGAACCCAACCCATTCTGATTTTTTTTTTTCTAAATTAGTGTCATTCATTTATTTTTACCAAGTTTTGTCAGTTCTGCTGTTATATTCCTCATGGACAATTCTCCTAGCAGGCAAACCAGATGGTTTCAAATGGTACTTGCAAAAGGAATCAGGAGCCTGGCCCTTGGATTCTGCCTTATGCTGGTATGATAGCTTGTGAGGGATGTAGTCAAATGATGGGCACTGTGCATGCTGTTGTTAAATGAGCCTTGAAGCAATCATTAGGGGTAAGATGAGAATCATGAATTGCTCAGTTTCTACTGCCTGTGCCAGCTGCTATTGATTAACGCATAGAGACTGAGACCACGTAGTCAGGGGAGCCCTGGTGCTCCGAACAAAGCAGCCAACAAAATATGGGGCACCATCAAGGAAATGAGAGCACTAGCATGGTTACACACTGTACTCTTTGGACAGACCCTCTGTGACCATGTAACACTCAGGTGCACCTACGTTTTGAGCAGTGTGGACTTCTGTAGAGCAAGATGTCATAACAGTAAACACAGATGTATGGGATAGAGCAGCATCTTTCCAAAAAGAGATTTGTAGTCTGGAGAAAAGGCTTGGAAAGGTATGATCCATGACCGAAGTGAATGGTATGAAGCTGTGTCATGGGAGGTGCAGGTTGGATATAAAGCAAAGGATCCCCCAGAGGGTGGTCAGGCACTGACCAGGCTCCCCACAGCAGTGGTCACAAACCCAAGGCTGTACGAGCTCAAGGAGCATTTGGACAATGCTCTCAGGACCAGGGTGGGATTGCTGGGCTGTCCTGTGCAGCGCCAGGAGTTGGATTTGATTCTATTCTGGATATGAGTCAATGTTCAGGCTGACAGCATCCCAGAGGAGCTATGTCCCAGTGCAGGTACTGCACGGGGATTGCTGCCCCGTGACCGGCCCGGGCTGCGGCACTGTGAATGCAGGACGTGGCACCAGCAGCAGCTCATGGCTTGCCCACTTGGGCGCCGCAGCCACGGGAGGAAGTGCGGAGAGCCGCGCACGGGACGGAAACCCGCGCGTAACTGGCCGACGG